ATATGTATAGAGAGGGAGATTAGGAAGATTACTCCAATGTTTACTTCTCGATATTTAAAAGGTTAATGATTCTATACGACAACTAATGTGACCACGTAACAATAACAACGGAGAAACCTGCGACACACATACCTTACGTTTTGACGTAAATACTCATTCTCGAAGTGCTCGCAGAAACTTTCGACGAACTTTTTGAGGAAGTCATGATGCGAAATATCTGTGCGGGCGCTCTCGGGCAAATTGAGATTGACGTAGGTGCAAAACGCTTTAGCAAAGTCGGAGGCCAAAGCGCGGGCGTGTCTCTCGCAGAACTCGATCCAGCCGGTCGCTGTTTCGGGCGACGCGGCGATCGCCGTGGACGATGTTGCCGTCGTCGTTGTAACTGGTGCCACCGTTACCACCGCCACTGCCACCGCCGTCGTCGCCGTCACTGTCACCGTTGTCGTCGTTGTCGGCGTCGTCGTTACTGTCGATGTCGTCAATGTAATCGCCGTAGCTGTCGTCGTTGTTGTCGTCGTCGATGCCACTATTGCCGTATTTATTGCCGGCGATATAGCGGTACTCGGCGTGCTCGCAGTGTAAACACTCATTACCGGCGTCTGGCTCGCGAAGGGGGCGGAAGATCTCCCCCCCCTTGTGCCACCGCCACTACCACTGCCGTCGTCGTCACCACCCGTCGCCCTCCACTCTCATCCGCCGTCCCCGCCAAAGGGTGCCGCCGCCGTCACTACGGGATTCTTTCACGATCGCAGACCTCGCGGCTGTTGCTGCTGAGATATGATACAAGCTCGGGCGTTTGACATGTCACATCCGCGTGAACCCTTCTTGTGTCTCTCTCTCTCTCTCTCTCTCTCTCTTGCGTTACACCGTACACACATCCATAGGGTGGAAAACTAAATACGGCTGTTGCTGAATGGCGTAGCAGTCGAATAACACACTAAAGTCGGCGGGGAAGGGGAAGAGAATATATATCAGAATATATGAGAGAACATTGATATGATTTTACATGAAATTCGGCGGATTCGTGCAAGAAACGAGTCGCGACAGCTGGGCTTAGCCGATCTTGAATGAATTCGCATTATTCCATGTATATTTCTCCATTTTATTATATTATTTTCCGTAAAACGGAGAGCACACCGGGATAAGTGACGGATGCTGATGAATTTTTGGAATAACTGAATCTGAGGAAAAAAATCCCTCGTTAATTTCACTGGTCATTCACGCGTCTACCTGCATCTATCAACGATCTCCTATTTTTCCTGCCTCTCTCTCTGTATCTTTCGCTGCCGGTGAACGATAGCGATCAACAGCGGCAGCGACAATTTTCTCGAAGACATATCGAATACGCACCCGGCGTTATTAAATCTTATCACACGCGCGTCCTTAAAAGTATCGGTCCCCCTCGTGTATGGGACGCGCTACGAACACGCGATCAAACCGTCGTTCTGTGAAAATGTCAGGAAATATTTACGGACATTACGAAGTTACGACACACACGTACTGGTACCACTGGCGCACTCTGTTCTGCTTATCATGCGCTAAGGTTAGGCGATAGCGTGGTTTGCTATCGCACATGAAAATTCGCATTTAGCTCATCAGAAACAATCAGAAACAATCACAGACATAGCAGTATATATAGTAGCGCAACTCTCCTGATTTTCAACAAGAAATATCATAAGTACAATGTCACATGATTGGCTATCAAATAGAAAAATGTTCGGGACTTTAAAAATTCTCTATTCGATAGCCAATCGCCATAGCGTGACGTCAGCCTGTGTTTTCTTGCTGGAATGCTGGAATTTCGTGCTTTTACCGCACAGAATTTCCAAAACTTGTCCAAAACCAAGTCAGTGAGTCAGTGGCCTGTGTTGGCCCATCATTCCTACCGATTCTTCTAAAAAATTCTACAAAATTAGAATAGTAAAGATTGAAGAAATAGAAATTGGAAATGATCGAATCTTGTACGAAAAAGCGAATGCTGCTAGGTATTACATTTTTAGGAGGGTTAGTTGTAACTTATATATACTATTAAAATGATAGATTAATGTGATATAGATTGAAATTATTAAAATATTAATTTAATTTTTCGTTATATAAATCGTACAATTAATAAGACGTGATAATAAGAATAAATAATTAAAATTTATTTCCTACAGATTAACAGTTTTAGCGTTAATTATTGAGAGCCACTGGACAAGCAGCTCAAATAAGCTTTATGTTGACAATTTTGAAAATAATTCCTCTTGTATCTCGAATGATGAATATGAAGTGATATCTGAATGTCATCCGTGCACAGCTTTTGAAATTGCTAGCGAAAGTATCGGCATATGTATCCATGCAAGATATAAGGAAGTGCTAAAGTGTAAAAGTGGGGAAACAATAACAAGGAGGTAAAAATGCATTGATAAGATATAATATATTCATATAGCAATGCTATGTTCTTACATGTATATATTTTATATTACAGTTGCGACAAAGTAGCTTGGCTAGAGGAAAGAGCATTTTGGAAGTTTGAAGGTTTTATGTTTGCCTCGGCGATTATTTCTTGTCTTAGCACATATTGGAGAGAGAATATATTAAGACAGAGAATGATCAGGAAAGTAGCAAAACAGTTACGAATTAGCGTATGAATAAGAGTTTGTATATTTTATATTTTTATATTTTTGTGTTGTACTTGTATGTTTGAAGAAGGAAAATGAGTGAGGTATATTTAGCAATATATTCTATAGCAGACTTATGTCTTGCACCGATAGAAACAATAATAACTCTATTTACCATAAAATATTGTAAATCCTCGATTAATATCAAGCTAATACCAACTAAGCAAGACTTAACCGAACAAGCATATATAATAAGTCTCTCAAATTTTGTTTACGAGATTATAAATATGAATGAAATACCTTATTATGCAAGCTTGTGTGAATTACCAAATATTGTTATAAATGAAAACAGCTGTGTAGCTGGTTTATGTGCAGTCTTGAGGCAAATTGTAAAGGATGTTATCGCAGGACATTCAATGCATTACTGTAATAGTTTATTAGGATTTAAGGGTTCTTGCTTGATGGCCTGTTCAGAAGCGAGCATATGGACTAAATTTTGTGAGGTTGATCTGATTATAACTTTGAAATCTTTAGATAAAAAAGATTTAGATAGACTTGAATTACCCATTAGCTTAGCCAGATTTGAATGTCACATGTCTCAACCAGTTAGATTGCATAATTTACACAAGTATACAATGTGCAAAAAATTTGCTGCACTAAACATAGTTAAACAGGATGAGAAAGGTTTATTGGAACATACATATGCAGAAGACACATACATTACATTATCTGATATAATCATATTCGTATGTATGCACATTATACTGAATACATTTTCAAATGAAACAATACTAAAATTGGTACCCCTAACAGTCAAATGGTACAATAGGATGTTGACAGATCAATTTATAATACAATGCTTAAATTATTTACCTTTGTTAAAGAGCCATAATTCAAATATGCTTCAATATACATTTCCAGCTATAGTAAATGAAAGCTTATACAAAAGTGATCCTAAACGGTACAAGCCCAGAAATTATACATACACTAAGCAAGAGGATATACAACATTCATTACAATTAGTTGAAGACATAAATATTTCAATGGAGCTTGATGCTGAACCCTTTGGTAAAGAAATAAACTTGGATTGGTCCATTGTGCCTTTCGATGCCACACCAGAAGGCGGTTCATTGCCACCTGCGAGACTGCAGCGTAAACAAGAGCAATTGCAAAATTTGTGCAAACCTGTTCTGAAATTGGCGAAAACGGGAAACATCATCGTAGATTTTTGTTCAGGTAGCGGACATTTAGGAATATTGATAGCATACTTGTTGCCTGATTGTACAATTATTCTCCTAGAGAATAAAGAAGAATCTTTGAATAGAGCCAAGAAGAGGGTTCAAAGATTAAAGTTGACGAACGTAAAATTTTGTCAATGTAATTTGGATTATTTCAAAGCAGAGTTTGATATCGGCACATCATTACATGCCTGTGGTTTAGTTACTGATTTAGTTATTCGATGCTGCATACAAAAAAACGCGATTTTCGTGAGTTGTCCATGTTGCTATGGCTCGCTACAGGATTGTCATCAGTTAACGTATCCGCGAAGTGATATTTTTAAGAAACACATTGGTAATAAAGAATACTCATTCCTAAGTCATGCCGCGGACCAAACGCACGAGGAATTGAATATTAAAACCAAACAAGGCTACAGATGCATGACAATTGTAGATACGGATAGAAAGTTGTTTGCTGAACAATTTGGCTACAAAGTTTACTTTGCAAAACTAGTTCCAGAAACATGTACACTTAAGAATCATTTGTTAGTTGGTATACCAAACGATAAATTAGCAAATGGCAATGTTTAAAAAATTTATTATTTTACTGACGTTTTGTTGCAAATAAACGGTATTCTTATTAAGAAAAAAGGTATCTCTCTTAATCTGACAATCTGACTTTTCCTTCGACTTGTCCGGCATAGGTGATCCTATAATTACTAGATTCATTAAGGTGGAGATTGGAGATATCATCGAGGAGGAAAAATTTTTATTTTGATTTTCTTTTAATATAGGTGTTACAAATTTGTTAAATAAAAAAACAATACATATAATATATAATTACAAAATATATAACGTATAATTACAAATGTAAATCCACGATTAAATTATAAGATAAATCGCGATTTGAAATTCACAAGCAAATAAGATAAAATATATTTATTATAAAATTTATTGGCTATTATAAAGTATAAAACGATATGCTATATATTAATGTATTTGCATATAATATACAGGAAAATCAAATGTGGTACGATAAATGGCGCGCACGAAGCGAAAAACGCCGGCATGGCCGCTCTCAGGTTTCTCTCTGCTGATATCCAATAGAAAGTATGGATTGTGAAACTAACATTTTCTTTCCTAGGAAACAAACTCTCCTATTGGATATCGAACATCGCAATATGAATCCTTCATTATTACATCTACTAATGTTTTTAAGTTCATGGAGCATTGTGTGCGTTATTTGATTTGGTTTGATGGTTTTTATTTAGGGTTGATTCAAGTCGCACGTGGTTTTAGTTAAAATAAGCTATTTAATGACGAAAGGTTATTTTTCATTATCGTGATGCCGTTTTTTATCAGGAATGTTGGTCGACGAGGTGGAGGACAGAAACGCAAAGTACGCTTCCATTTATTTTATTTTATTCTGGAAAAAAATGTTACGCGTAGTTTTCTTCTTTATTTGGAGGTTATAATTAAATTCGCGTGCAGAATTAGTATAATTATTTATTTTTTGTTTTCAATTTCTAATTTGTATTGTAAATGCACATATCTACATATTGCGTCAATTATTTACTTATTTATTTATTTAGAGAGAGAGAGAGAGAGAAAGAGAACAATATCAGCTATAATATTAACTATTTAATATACTAATAACTGTTATATAATTCCAAAATATGCGATTATGTTATATATTAGCTCAATGGCTACCATGGTAAGATATCCAAAACTCAGTCCACGTCAAAGCGATCAAAAAAAGGACAAAAGTCTATACCTGATGACAATGAAAGTATTGCTAGTACGGATGAAGAATTTGCAGAAGAAAATTTAAGGTAATAATCCAATACATTAAAAATATATAATATATTTAGTGAGAGTATAAAAGTTTTTGTCTTTAAAAAAAAAAACAGGAAAAAGACAGAAAAGTTTGAAAGCGAAACAGAAGAAGAAGAAGAAACTGCGCAAGAAAAGAGTTTGAGGCTTGCAAAGAAGTATCTTCAAGAAATTGAAGAAGAAGGTACGAAGGAAAACTCTTTATTTTATTTGATTATACTATCTTTGACAAAGAATGATTATGTAATAAAATTATTTTTATAAAATTGTAGAAAAGGATAGAGCAGAATTTGAAGAGGGTGCAGTTGCACGGAGATTACGTGAGGAATATTTAGAGCAAAAGGGTCGATTAAGGAAAACTATAGCATCAAATTATACTGGCCACAAAGAACTCGTACCATTGAAATGTAAAGAGCATAAAGGACCCATTACTTGCATTTGTCTTTCTAATGATGGTAGTACATTATATTCGGGATCCAAAGATGGCAGTTTAGTTAAATGTAAGTTCATAAATCGAAAGGAATAATTAAAAAAAAGTGAGAACAGGAAATATAATAATATTGTTATTTAAAGAATTTTTTAGAAATAATATTAATTATATATATATATATATATATATGCTTGTTTTTGAAATAATGTGATAAGCCTTATTGTGATAGCCTCATTTGTTAGGGTCAGTAAAGGAAAAGGTTAAATTAAAAACCATTAGAGGAAAGAGAGGAAAGACGAAAGACGGAATGAAATCTATACGATGTATGGCAATTAGCACAGATGGAAAATTTCTGGTAAGGTCAAATAAAACCATTCTTTTTTATTTTATAAAATATGTATAGCTATCGAGATGTAAATTTTTTCTCATTGTAGGTAATAGGAGATAATGGATGTAAAGATATAAAAGTGTTTTCTGGTGATACCCTAGATCATATAAAAAATCTACAAGGTCATAGAAATTTTGTATCTGGATTGATATTTCGAAAAGATACTCACACGTTATATTCCGCATCCGAAGATAGGAGTGTGAAAGTTTGGAATCTGGATGATATGGCTTATGTTGAATCTTTGTAAGCAATTTTATTTGCAATGATATCTTTTGCTATTTTATTTTATCGTCAAGTTATTTTTGACTGTAATATTGTTTCTTCTTATAGATTCGGACATCAGAGTGGTATTACATTTATCGACGCGCTTTCACGAGAGCGTGCTATCACGAGTGGTGGTTATGATGGAACCATTAGGATATGGAAAATAGTCGAAGAATCGCAATTAATATTTAATGTACATAACGTCGGTAATAGTATCGACGTGGTTAAGCTTATAAATGAAGAGAATTTCTTCAGTGGTGGAGATGATGGACAACTTTGTGTTTGGGGATGTTTGAAAAAAAAGCCGCTATGTTCAGTGCCAGAGGCGCATGGAAGGGACGAAACCAACGGCCAACCAATGTGGATTTCAAGTATCGCAACATTGTTAAATACAGATTTAGTAGCATCAGGTATGTTATTTTATCGTATCTTTATATCTATTTGGATATAAAGATACTATTCTCTACATTTCCTTTTTTTATATTGTGATTTTTAGGATCGCGTAATGGCGTCATCAAATTATGGCAATGTGGTCAGGACTTTAGGTCTTTAAATTTCTTGTTTGAAATTAAACTGACAGGTTTTATAAATGCACTCACTTTTACACCCGATGGGAATCAGCTTATTGCTGGTGTTGGTAGTGAACATAGAAATGGTAGTTGGTGGCGAATACCAGAAGCAAAAAATATGATTGTTATTATACCATTGATACATAAATAAAAAAGACAAATAGTCCTCACTATTATTAAGATATTTTACATAATATCTGTGTATGTATGTACATAATTTATATCTGATTATTATAAGTTATAGATTATTACACCTTTATCAACATTGTATGTATAACTTTTCTATAATTTGTGTAAAACGTTTTATACTTACCTTCCTCATTTTTAGCACAATATATTAAAAACAAAAGATATTATTCAAATTAATGATAAAATTTTGGCTTAAATTGATTAACAAATTTATAATAACCATATTTTAATACTTCGTATATAAGGCAAAAATTAGTTGTTGCCATTATGATGCCAACTATTTTGTCGCGATGAGAGGTATATGCATTTAACAATCTGTGAATGAAATGAAAGAAATATTGGTCCACAGTACAAGTATTTATTTATTCTGTACAAAAGTTGAGTTATAAAATATTATGTCCCTATTTTAGGTCTTGTTCTTAGTCTTGTATACCATGCCGTCTTGTGAGTACGTTCGTATAATAACAATATCGCCGCATGGAACGCTCATACTCGTCCGAAAGCGTTCTCCAAGTTTCCTTTTTCACATTATTCTGATATTTCGCGAGTTATTCTGCGCAAATAATACGCACGCAATCCCGGCTTCGCTCCCGGGCGATTATCAACGTTACGCTCGCGCGAATTTTGGACTCACCATGTACATATAAACCAAACCGATTTTTTAATCCGCATATTTATTCAAGTCAACAAACAGTAGTACAGCGAGTGTACGCTACTTCTTGTGCATTCTTGCGATAAGTTTTCAAACGAGTGCGATATATAGGCCATCCTTAATGAAGGGGGCATATCACCCTTCCGTCGTGTCGTTTTTTTTCTTTTTTTTTATTTACTGACTGCTTTGCTATCTCTCCAGGCCGTAAGGGTGCTGTTCGGTGTGTTTCTTTTTTTTAAGGATTTTCAAGCAACATCGTCTTCTGCAAAAATACGCGATTAAATCTCTCCCTGTTTCTTTTTAGGCCGGCACTAATCTTTGCCAGATGGATGTTGAAACTTATCTTGTTTATTCTCCTCTTCTTTTTTTCCCCATATAGTTGGTTCTTACATCTCCCTTTTTTCTTCGCCATTGTCCGGTTTAATTGTTCGGGGTCTTTGACGGAGTTGATATGAACATATATAAGTCGTGACAGACACAGCACTTTTTATGCTTCTCTTCAATCTTCGATCATTAATTTTTTGATCGTAATTCTCTCGTTTTAAAAATAAGCTAAATTTATCAAATTATCAAAGAATCATTTTAATCTAGGATCTAATAATAAATGACTCATGTTTGACAAAATCGCTTGAATCTGACAATGCCTTTTTTCTTCTTGAAGCGGAATTGGGCACGCGCTATATTCCGTTTTTCTTGGTCAATAAATCACTTATTTTTCTGTTTATTCTTATTACAATAAACGGTATCTGTTTTTTATAGATATTTGACTGTGTGATGTATTGTTGCTTTATTGTATAATGGTGTATAGAATCACGAATTATTTTATTGCTATAGAAAATATCTTCGCCCAATTCCGTTCAATATATACATGGTTTGGATTTTTTTTTCCGTCGAAAAGGATTAGCATAATCGCGGGAGATGCGTCTTTAGTGTGCAATCGATGCACTCGTTGCATGTTAGATATGGCTCGATATTACATGGAAAAGATATTACATTTATAGCGCGTTAATCTGCCGAAGAAAAGTTATCAAGAATACGCGTTGTAACATAACTCCTTAAGTATAATGTGATTGAATTTGCGTCAAATGTGCAATGCAAAACAGAATAAATGTAGAGATGCACATATTATTCTCGTGAGACGAGTATTATCTGTTTTCTATTTATCATACAATTTCTTAAGTAACAATTTCTTAAGACAGACTTTACTTACATATAAAAACATTAAGTAATACAATAACGGTTTGCATTCGACTGATATAATTATGCTATCGTGAACAAAGCGCGTCGTGCACCATTTTTATGGTGTTTGTGAAAAAGCAACTAGAAAGAGAAAATAGAGTTCTTTTGCGAAATAATATTCATTGCTATTTTTTTTAAAGTCTATTAAAGTAAACTTAAAATTAGCCGTATTAGCAAAACGTTGGAACGTATTTTTTATTCTGTTGGAATGTACTGAAGTTTATTGTTTCTCTTTACCTAGATAATTTCTGATTTTGTCTGTGTCTTTTTTGTTAGCAATATATTAATTGAATTATAAATTGACGATAACAATTAAATATGGCAGTTTATTTCAGGAAAATTGCGCTCTTATATCAAATAAATAGTAGGACAGTGTTGTTCTATTATATTTCGCGCAACGTATATTGTATATATTGTATATATGAATGAAAAATATATTCATTTATACTATCAAAAAAATTACTTGAGCTTTATTAATAGCGTTCTTTACTTATAGATTTAGTGACAATAGCAGGAATATTCAATTGTAATCCAAAACATTTTTTTTTTTAGATAAAAATTCTTAGGCCTCTTCTCATGACATAAAAATGTATAAAAAGATTAGATTTGAATCAAAATTAGGACAATATTTAGGAACAATATTTTAGATTAATAAAGCTTTTAACATATTCAAAATCGATATGTGTACAGTTATTAACTTGAGTATAAATCATGATAGATATATCTGAGAAATCATTTCTATATACATATAACACATAATGTTCTTTTTTTCGTAAACTGCTTCTTATAATATGTATATATATATATGATGAAATTTACATATTTTATCAAACGGGCCTTTTTGCAAATTTAGGATAATTCTTGACCAACGTACTAATATGAACGAGCGATTAAAATAGGAGAATAGACTAGAAGTTGCATTATCCAAGTGATGAATTAGTGCCAAATGTTGTTATTTGTCTGTGATTTATACGACACAAGTCAAGTAGATCGTGTATGCTTCGTGCATCGACTATCTCTTTTGTACTAACAGCAAGATCGTGTGTAAGACAGGACGGTCCATATTCTGTAGCGAACATCCTCTATTTACTATAAATTGTAAAAATAATTTAGCGTGCGCGAGAGCAAAAATTACAACATATATTTATATATTAAATAAATATTATACAAAAGATAAATATTGCTATGTTAAATATTTCTGTTTCTTAATTACTAGAATTATGAGATTTTCTAATTTGCAATATATTCGTGTTGCACGATAACAGATTCTGAAGAAATATTGTAAACTAGATAAGCCGTGATTTTTTAAATACGCGTACCGTAAGAAACCTATTAATTAATTACTATTAATTGCCATTAATGTACTATTTTACAAGAATACTGTACTTTCTGAATTTTTCTGGACCGTCCTTTCTCTTTCTCTTTCTCCTTTTTCTCTCTCTGATTCTTTTCTCCAGACTTTTCCGACAAACAGGAATGATTTCCGCAAGGTATTTCGAAACAAAATACGATGCAGCTAGTCCCCCGACCTGACGCACGATTTTTCCCCTTTCTTTTTCTTTTTTTTTTTTAATTACTTTCGTTTGCCATCGATATACTTCGCTATATATCGACATACATATAGAATATACCTACATAAATTGTGTAACACCGACGAGTCTACGCTCCATCGCGTAGGACCACGTACATCTTGCTCGCCTGCCGCCTTTCATTCTCACGCATCCATCGCACGCGTGCTGCGTGCAGATTGCGTTTACATGAACGCAGTTTTAGATATATCGTGTGCTTCACTTTATCTTCGTGCTCTTTCTCTCACTGTCTCGCATTCTCTCCCTCTCTTTCTCTCTCTATCACGCGTATATAATCTCGCTGCATTGCATAGTTTCGCGACAGCTGCAATGTCTGTGACGTATATGATGTGTGCCTTGTGTCTGCATGTATGTCTCTTTTTTGTGAAAACTTTGTTTACGTTTATCTCCTTTTTACACACTGTTATCTGCAATTTTTTTGGTTGATTATGGCGTTTTTCCTGTTTTTTTTTTTGCAACCTGTGGTCGCTCGTTTAAATACTATTTCGCTATAGTGGACTACCGTTATGAATGCTACGCTACTTTGTATTGTATCCTGTAACGCTTCGTAATGAACGACTGGTACTGTACTTGAATGTGCATACTGGTGAACACACGCAATCTATAAGGTTCCGTTTCAAGGATACCATACGCGGCGGCGAACCGAGTACGGAATAAAAACGACGAGTACACGCTCATTAACGAGCCTTACCGATCTCTGGCGAGAGATGGTAGATTTTTAATTAATATATCACGGTTCATTGTTCACCGAATGCGCTGCGTTGCATTCAGCAAAATAAAAGATCGCCCGAATATAAAGATATTATGTATCATATACATATGTCCAGGCATGCAAAAACAGATAATTGTTATAAAACCATTGCATCAGACTATATAATCAGAATTGAAATGCAATTAATATATATGTAATTTGCAAATTCTATTATCGAAATATTACAATTAGTACCAAATTAGCGCCAGAAGTTAAATAAACTTTTATCTTATTATTTTAGTGCCATTTGTCATATTTTTATCTTATATCGAGCGTATGCTAAAGTTTTCAATCTTTCTTCTATATTTTAAATTCTGTCAATTCACGATATAAAGCGCCGCGTATGATGACCGTGACATCGAGAGTGTATATGTATGGGTCCTGTATGCTCCGGTTACAAAATAATATACGCAACGTGAGAAATCACGATCTGGCTAAGTGCTTGCTCCACACTCGAATCTGCTTCCTGTTTAATTAGTGTTCTTCGATTATGAATAGTTTAATCGTAGTTTATAATTAACCACTCTGTATCTTCCATCTTGTTAAAAATCTTAGACATCAACATACATTCATTTTTTTATTTTTATAATAAATCGTTATTAGAAACCTATCTCGTACTCGCTATGCACTTTAATATAAATTTCATCGCGTTTATCGTTATTAATCGTTAATTTATTTACAATGACGCGAATATTTATGAAATTCACTTTATCTCCTCGCTCTTTTTACGTTAAATTAATTAATTCATTATAAACCGCACGGCAGTGTTGTCAACGCGGTCGATATTTTACCCTCGATCTCGAGAAGAGAGGAACAAATATTTTTTTTTCTTTTATAATGTGCATGAATATACGCGCGGTGTGTCTCTCTTTCGTGCGAGAGGCATCCGCGCGCGTCTCGTCGAGCATCCTTTTTTTGTTCTCGTACACGCACACGAGTAGATAATTACGTAAGCGAGGTGGCATACCGAACGTAATAATAGACGGGAATTTGAATCTCCTCGGGATGGACGTGAAGCGTATCCTGTGTTTTCGCTTTTTCTCTTTTTTAATCCTATTTCGGACGTTTATTTACACGTGTTTAAGTCGTATCGTGACGGATCCATTAGATCGCATTGACCGAATTATAGATCCGACTGGTTAATACGGCCGCGTAAATCTCTCATTGTGTATACATGTTACATCTATTTACATATGTCTCTGAACCAACAAATCCACCAAAGATGCATTCTATCTGTTGTTAAAAAAATACTTTCTTCCTCGTCGGCAGCAGGACGCCTCACGTCTCGCGGTCTGCGACATAATGGTGTGTGGATATAATGGATGTGAATGAAATAGAAATAAAAGAAAGAGGGATAAATAAAATAAAAAGAAAAGTAAATCTGCAGTGAGTGACCTTGTCTATTTTCTATATCGAATAATTCGAGTCTATATTATTGTTATAGCGTGTGTTCGCTTATCGTTCGCGCGGATGAGTACCATTCACGTTAATTCACGTATCACCTCGCGCACGAACAATCGATCAAGCGGCGTTTCTCTTTTCGTCACTTAAAGTAATAAATTCAACTCGTGATCGGCGACATTTTCACGATTCCTAACAATGCGCAAATATAACGCAATAAGCGAGCGCGCGTTCATTCGCTAAGCGAAATTTAAGATTTCGCAAAATGAGATTGCTAATGATGTGTATGAGATATGGTAATTCTGGTTGAAAAATGTTTAAAAATGCTCTTTATATCCATAGTTATTCGATGAATATCTTTAGATTGTTGAGTTATTTCAGGAATAATAATAGATAAAGATAATAGTTAACATGCAACATAAATGAGTCTTTATTTTGACCAATTCGGAACACTTAGCGATATGATAATGATTGTCTGTGGGTGCATTATACTTAACATTATTTATCTAAAAAAAAAGCGTGAGTTTCAAAACGATGATCGGTTGGAATCGTGAAAAATCGCGTTGTCCGGTTTGCTCACTGTATTATTGCGAGGGTACAACACAAAAAATACAGACACTTAGGCTTATAATACTGCTGCTGAATTTCCGCTGTATATTCGCAATTCTCGGCTGATCGTAATCATTCGCTGTTGTCGTGATCGTAAACGCAAGTAGGGACGATGAATCATGAACGAACTCGTCGAAAGCGAGCCGGGTCACGTCAAACAATCTTCAACTTGTAAGGACTATTGTTTCGCTATCTAAAGATCCTGAGTAAGGACCTCTTATTCTCCTTCGCACTTACTTATCTCATACACGCACGCATCTGCACAGGCACTCATATACATTCTCTTGTCACGGTACTCATTTTCCGCATAAGTTCGTATTTACAATAATTCGTTAGTGTAGTTGCGCTTGAAATTCTCTTTTTTAGCAGACACGAAAGAAAAATTATTCACTGCTTCATCTTTCTTCCTCGCATGTCGTGTCTGCGCACGCATGTGTGTGTCGCGTGAACGCGTATACGCAATCTCGCTTTCGAAGCGCGTGGCGTCGCATGAAAGACGAATCCGCGAGTATGTGGCATGAAATGTATGTATACGCGCGTGTGACATGATACGTGCGCGAGTCTTTTTTTAGTAAATAAATACAATAATAAAAAAAGAAAACCTATATAGGATCAATAAAACGGAAACATGATCGAACAACTGACTAATTAGATACCGTGAATAGTTTGAATAGAAATATTATCCGCGCGTATATAATATATAATATTATAATATTTGGAACGGAATCAAAGAAACGAGGAAAATAACAAATGTCAGGAATTGGCCTTGGTGGTTTGTTCGCGCCACAATCGCCGCTTCACCCCCAACGCCGGCAGTACATTAATTTATTTGTTATTAAATTTGATATTTCACTAGCGAATATAGAATATCGAGTGTTGAATATTCGTAGCGTAATGATAATGCATAATAAATATAATACAGATCTCTATAGATAGAAGTCTCGGTATGATACAGCTATTATACAAAAATCTGTCTCTTACTTGATTCACGACTCAGTCTCTCTTGCACGCTATTCTCTATTTGCTCATTCACTCTTTTTCTCCGTTATCTTTCTTATCCAACAGCTCGAGTTAATGATACACACAATCCTTGTTGTTGACTCGCAACAATGACGTAATTAGTTCGACATAATGGCAAAAAATCGCACAAATTCATGTCTCGTGTTGCTTTGTTCGATGAGTACTTTTACAGTGCTCGCATTATAATCGCTCACACTTTTTCTTTCTGATACACACTCTGTTTTCATATTTCTCTCTCTCTCTCTCTCTCTCTCATAAGATTTATCTAGAAATACGGCACTCTTTCTTAAATCTCACTGGCCCCCTGCTGCCCATCGGCATACAAGACGACCAAGAGCCACTTGTACATATTCATTAGGAATTTATTTACACGCGTGCTAACTATCCTACTCACGGTCTCGCACGCGAACTCGAATGATCCTTCGTCCTCGGCGTCCTGCTATTGGTTGGGCATCCGCAGCGATCGATCTGAGCTAAACGCCGCGCGAGAGACATGATTACTCCCACACGATTCTTTTAATTCTTTGATCCTTCCACCAATCATCGAGGAACTACGATACGTCGCATCGACGACTTTGAGTCGAAGAATCTACGAGATCTCGGGGAGACTCTCGCAGTAAGGATCGCAATTATTCGCTCCGGATCGTCTTGGCCGCGAACCGAAAATATTCAAGGATTTTCAGGTACTCTTTTTCTCGAGGCGCAACGTGCTCAGATGATCGCGCTCGGAAAAAGCTATGACCTTGTCGATTCCGTGCAAGGACCCCTTAACGAAGGATCGTTCGTCGTTGTTGGTCGAGCCTACGCGATATTTTGCCCTGGATTATGGGATTCGCGATGCTGGAATTAAAGAGACGCGATCTCTGACGGATTTTCTCGCGTAGCCCTGCTACTAATATGCTAATAGACCCCGTTTTTCTCGTACATTTTTTTCGCTCGAGGATACTTAGCACGCTGCCACGACTTCCACTTCGGTCTCTGTCGTATTCGAATAAATAGCTATCAGCGTAATGATAAAAAGGACAACCAATACGACTACTATTTATAGTAGTATAATAGTGGGCGTGTACTATAAGTAGTATCTAATAGTAGCGTTTTTCTTTTCTTTTCGCTTTCTCTACTACTTCCCGTCCTACCTTCGGCTTTGTCGTCTTCGCCCTATGGTATTCCATCTTGGAATCCTGCTAATTTGTATTAATTGTAGTTAATATGGCGTTGCCGCTCGTGTGTCGTGCGTGTCTCTTCTCTCGATGTGTCTCTCTCGCTTTTTATCTTCGTCTTTTCTCTCTCTCTCTCCGTCCGCCTCTTCTCTTTTCTCTGCCATCTCTCGAGTCGGCGCGACCATGGATCGTGCGTGTCTTACTACGATCAAGGGACGGCCGAGGGACGCGCGTGTATGTCTCGCGCGCTTCTCAAGAAATCAATTAAACGTAGGATAATCACAGAAGAAGGGGTTTCGACGCATGGGATATACGATGTTCTCGTACGTTGCTGGTGCTATCGCTTCACCGCAGCAGCTGTTGCAGCAATGTGCTCATCAACAGACTGCCTATCGCCAAGATTAGGCTCTGTGCGTACCGGATCTGCGTAGTGTACGAATTCGCGCCGTTGTACGTTAGCTCCTCGTTCTTTACCACCTCATTTGGATGATCCGAATATTCCTCTGTAAAACAAGAATAAAAATCATAAGTTAGCTATTGATCCCCGTTATATCGATGAGCTATAGTAATATGTATTAGGAAAAGTTAAGCCGTATCTCGGAAATACGGTACTGTTAATGGCCAAGTGACTCTCCGTGAATAACTTATCGTTGTACGGCGCAAACTTAGAAGGCGCAAATTATATCATAAATATTAGTATGCTAAAAAGCAAGCGATGCCATGATCGACAGACGGCTTTCGGTCAATTTTCATCCGATCGGATCCTGACATTACATTTCGCCGGCAACTGGCAAAGTGTGCGGTTTATAGCGCATATCTACATCTAAGTGGAGCGATCTGATTTTTATATGTATATGATTCTTACATGTAAATGTAGCGTTATAAGTAAATATGTAAATCTTTTCTACTTTTATAAATGTTATATGATTAAGAAGAGCGGAAATTCATATCATGAATTAAGAAAATAATAAGCTAGAACTACAGCACGGACTAACTCGGAAGAACATAATTTGCAACCAGTAATAATTGACGGTTGTCATCTTTCATTATTATTTCTACTATAATTTATCATGAATATTAAAAGAACAGAACAATACACGGCCTTATGTAGATAATAGAAGATAATAGGAGATGTGGCCATTCGCTCGTCATGGAATAAAGCTTAACTAAGTGCATCAAAACAAAATTTCCAATCGTCTAATATAACGAGCATTGCCGATGCTCCGACTGTCAATTAACGTCGATTGATATTTATCAATGATTATTGCAATGCACTTTACATTCGAGCATACATATATATGATTTAATTACGCCAGGTGTTCTTCAATCATGCAAAAAGAAATTTAGAAGAGCTAATTCTAGAAGAACTAATTCTCACCATCAACCAGAGCTAATTCTCACCGAAATATTCTATGACTTTGGAACTCTACTGACTCAAGTCAGTATCAAGTATGACTCGGATCAAATAAGAGGCATAAAAGACAAAGCGTTTCAGAGCAAGACTTCATCGGACAAATAAGATACGACAGAGCGCAATAGTGATATGATACGTACTGTTCTTCTTCTTCTGGCCGGTCGAGGTTTTGGGCGGCGTGATCGAGGACGGCGGTCCATTGTGAATCGGCGGCAGCGGCTGATGCGGATGCGAATACGCGGGGTACATGGCCGGCGGAGGCACGTGGGACAGGGTCGGCGCCGCCGTGCCCGTCTGATGATGATCGGGACGATGATGAATGCTGCCCCCCGGGTAGAATCGATCTCCGCCCCTGTAGACGATCGGCGGCGGCGGCGGGGGTGGCAGACCGGCGGCTCCACCGCCCAAAACCACGGTGCTCGTGGAGCTGCTGCTGGGCACGGTGCTGCTGGTCACGGCTACGGCTGGAAAACGGACGGCATTGGATCGGTCATTACGCATCTCTCGTCCGTTCATCCGTTCGCGGTCCGAGTCGCGCAGGTGTCGACGAATAATTGCTGACGCGATTACGCTCATCATCATGAACATTGAGAAACGAGTTGGTCGAACGAGATGCGGCTTATTTAAAAGTCGAAGAACAATTTGTACCGTTACGTTTTCAAATGCACTGACTGCTTGAAATATGAACTGACTATTTGAACATTTTATCATTGAGTCTTAATAAATAATTTAGAATTTAGAATTATCGATGGCATTTATTTCTGCCTCTAATTACAATTTTTTTCATTATGTTTCCATTCAAATATATTTTCTCTTCGCACATATTCATCAAGTTTTTATATCTAAGTAATACATTTTTATAATATACAGAAAATGCAACAAAGAAATCCTTTTTTTATAATGTATAACATAAATAATTTAATATAAAAGCGACAATCAAATATAGCGAACGGTAACCCTCGTCATATTCACACTTTCTCATCGCGAGCCCAAGGATGATTCTCGTATTATTCTGAGCGCATAACTTGACGCTGTAGCCGCAAACTCTTCGGAAATAAAACTCGCGACCGAGAAGGTACGCACCCCCCGGCGATATAATTGTATGGAAGTAGCTGTGCGCGAACCCTCGACGTGCGTCTACCGTGGACGCGAGTTCAGGTTTTGCCGTGGAATCTTCAATGCTCGAGACGCCGAGGAGGAGGAGAGTTCAGAGTTCCCGGCCGGCGAAATAGCTGGTCATTATGGCGCATGAATCGTCTTCTGCCAGGGCGGAGGTGGCATGAAGAAAAAGAGGGAGAAGAGAGAGGGAGGCGGGGGAAAGCAGGGAAGAAAGAAGCGAAAGGACGCTTCTCTCGACGATGCTTCGAAACGAATTGGAGAGAGAGAATAGCAAGGTGAAATGAAATGGTAGAATTTATTGTGCCCCGAGACATAGTGTTGGTCCCCCGATCGCAACAAATAACGCACGGCGAAGATTATAATCAATAGGGATTATTTAAGAGAGAGAGAGAGAGACGATTGGGAGAAATGAAGACGAGAGCTGGATAGAACGATAAGGAGAAAATGAGCTCGAAAGGATGATAAGCAAACTGGCGAACAAACGAGCACACCGCCTGTTATGATAGCCGTTTCTCACGTAACTAATTGCAGGATAATGAATTTATGGACCATTTCTGTTTCGCCCCTTAATCTCCCTTCCCTTTCTACCTTTTTTTTTCCCGGAACGCGCGTCTTCGACGGAGGTCGCGCGAAACGAGAAAGCGTGAAGAGTTAAAAACGTGATTTACACGCGAAATGAAAAGGCGGTGTCTCTCTTGCAAACGGCGCCTGTAATTTTAGATTATGATAATTGAGAAATTAGAATATAATTGTCGTGTGCGAGATAGCTTCCATGGGAAGAAGAGTTTGCATTTCGGATACCGTTTCGTGAATGATGCGCAATGAGATGCAAATGAGAAACGCACGCGATTGAACTGCATACCGAATCATGTTGCACAAATTGTTTGCTAACTTTCAGTTCTCAGGTAAAAAATAAAGAGAATTCACTGCTGGCGTTAAAACTTTCAAGAAAATAGAGATTACAAAAGCAAAATTTAATTTACAGAAATCTGCAAAAATTTTCGCATTTACATCTATCCCATGTAACTTGAATTAATTTAAATTGTTTTATTAAATGAGATGTGCACACATGTTGATTTCAAAATTACCGACATTTCTAATTAAATTTCTCTTAGGAGATAAGTGAAAAGAATTCGAAATTTATATTTCTTATAATAGACCGAAACATGCGTGGCACAGTGCATAGTAAATTTCTAAAGTTTCTTATAAAACATTTAATTATTGAGTCAACACGCACTGAGTCAACCGTGATTGCAAAAGAAAATTTTATTTAATTACACACTTTAACAAGTAATCCTTTTTTGCTTATATACGTATACAAATTAATTCTCGTGTTCTTCGACCTTTCGCCACATGTCCATTCTAAATACTTACAATTATTACGCGATGTCACTGACGAGGACGAGGTCTCGGCCTCATTACCGCAGCAGACCTTGAAGACGACCTTCATGTTGTGGCTGGTGCACCGTCCGCCGATGCGCCTGTGGAGATCGTCCTTGGACGAGGTGCTGATGAAGTAGTAATCGTGGCCCGGGAGGAACTCGAGGCCCCCGGGTTGTGGCGTGAACGGCCTGAAGGTGATGGTGAAGTACATCATTTTGCGCGGCTTGTCGCACACCGCTATTACCCGCGGACTGGGGTTCGTTATCCGACATGTCTCGTACTCCTCCTTGGACACCTGTAAAACGTCCAAGAGGGATCGTGCAGTCGGATGCGACGGTATAATCGATCGGTGACGCGTGGATCGCTGACATTAATCGCTGATTGACTGCTGTGTGAAAGATGCCATCCTGGCATTCCCCCCCGTCCTATCCCCCCACCCCCAGCGAAGCGATTCCCGTGTTCTTCTGCAGAAGAGGGCTTCATTGTCGGAGCTAATCGTCG